TATATATATATATATATTTCATTTAAAATGAAATCTCGAAATTTGGTTGAGTATAAAGCTCAAATTTCTTTCTCAACCGAGATACCCTAAGTGTTTTAAACACATTGAAAATCTGATCATCTTTTCAATACATGTGGTTAACGTTCTCATTGTATTGTGTATTGTGTGAATGGATGATCACTATTGAGTATGTGTAGACGAAAACTTACAAACTGTATGCGAGTCTAGTAACAATATATAACATTTTAAAATCTCTTAAGGTGAATAGTACTTCCACCCATCTTTATGAAGAAAAGATGAGCTTTCTTCCCTTGAAAAGCGCAACAATGCACGCTGAATGTGGTGGAATATCACACTTTAAATATAAATCATCCTAGGCGACTCTACGCATTCTTAACACGTAGTCCAAACAGCTCACAATTAAGAGCTTAATATCAGATATCGCGCGAGGTGTTCGAAAAATCTTAACCATTTCGAGGCAACCAACACCGCCATTTTGAGCAGCGAGAGCGCCACTTGAATATTAGATGGGCGATTCGGCTTGAAATTCTCGTCTGGGCGAAATTCAGGACTCCAAACCCATTAAAATTCTTTGGGGCGTCACGCTAGACCTTCGTAAGTGAATGAGTCAGCAAAAGCCCCGGAAAGAGGAAGAGAAGAAAAAGGAAGGGGAGGGGAGGAGGAGGACGTGGAGAAAGTAGAGTGTGAGATATCTGGTGGAACGGTACCCAGAAATACAATTTAATGAAACGAGATCTGCGCTGAATCTTAGGCTCTCTGTGCTTGGGTTCGATGCGAGCGACGAACTTTCGAGAGGGTGTGGCAGAATAACTTCTCTTTCTCCTTCTCTCTCCCCCTCCCCGTTCCACTCTCCCCCTGGCATCCCGGGCTTCCCGGCTTTTATTAAAACTGAGAGAAGTCTTACAACAATTAATGAAACGTCGCGAACGTTATTGGAGCTGAGCAAACTAAGACGTAGCAGCTTCTGCCGCCGCCGCCAGAGGTTGCAAGCGAGCGGGATGACGTCACGGCGCAGAACGTGAGACGGCAACAGATGAGTCTAATGGCGACGTCTCAATGAGTTCTTAATGCAGTGAATAATGTATATTTGAGAGGCCGTTTCCGACGTGCATTTTCCATCTTGGAAATTCTTTTAAAAATCAGGGGCTTTCTGAGTTTTGAAATATCTGAAATATGCATGGGTAAGAATGAAGAACGAGTCCATCTGAAAGCGAAACTGTAGGTATTTTGTTTTCAGATTAATTAAGGGATGTTCGAAAATTTCTTGTTAAAATAATATTTACAAAACTTTATTAAAAGTATTTCTTCCAGTAACCCTATTACTTATCTTATTTAATTTTTATGTAATAAAACGCTTCATAATGTAAGTTTATTCATGAAAATCCGCCTATGAAGCGTTTTTCTTCGATGAAAATTCTGGAAACATCAAATATGTGTTTTGCCTCAGGTGCCTCGGGGTAGCAATTGGCGTCAAAATGAATGAATGAAAATGAAATGATGTCGAACGTTTTTCAAAATGAATAATTCGTTTTATGATATTTGTATTCTGTCATTATGCCTTAAAATATTTATCTGGTAAATAACTATTATGATACCACGTTATTTTATGGTTTAACATGCATCAATAAACTTATAAAACAAATATTTTTAGGAAATTATTTTGTGCCATTATGACAGTAGCAGTATCAGTAAAAAACTCAAAAAGACATGCATGTTATTCGATGTTTCGTAACATTCTTTCCCTTCACTTCTCGTCTTTCATGTTCCTGTCCAGAATGCTCTTTGATTGAACTTATCCATGTATCATTTTCCCTCTCTTTAAGTAAATTTTTACTATTTGAGAAAATACCCTTGAAACTAATATATGACATAATTGTTTCCTGACATAATTGTGCATATATAAGCTACTGTACATAACTATGTATTGGGGAAGCAAAATTGCCTAATTGAATAACATTACATTATATCAAGTTCAACATTAAAACACACATTCGTGAACAGCTCCATAGCCAAATAATGTGTGAGGGAGTGCCAAGACATTTTCCTCACAAACCCGGAAAAAGAATTGGAAATGTTTCATGAGAAAATCCGGCGTCTTCAGTTTCCAACGCTTGCTCGCCCTTCTGCGCAGTCGGTCGGAAATAACAAGCTGTCGTCTTTTCGGAAGGACTGGCGACAGTTCCGCAAAGTAGACAGACGGGAAATGTGAATGCTGGGAGGGAGCGAAGGAAGGACGTATGGGAAAAATATCATTCAATTTTCGTTGTTTGAATTATTAGTGTGGGCGAGAAAGTAATCAGTTATACGAGCCAACTATTAGGTAATATATTTGGAAATATAATCAAAATATCAGTGCAAAAAATGTGTATTGGAATTAGAATATGATTCATTGAAAACAACATTTGCACTATACACAACATAATCACACTATACATAACAGAGATCATTATCCAACATGTTCTGCGTATCAAAATAAATTTATTTGTAACAGCTGCTACGTGAACATATTATTTTTCCTTCTGAAATTCAATTCAATCATATATATGATTATATATATATATATATATATATATATATATATATATATAATCATATTATATTACTATTAAAAGCAATCTGCGATATTGTTACACAACTCTCACACATAGACTGATTTTTGATCAGTTAAGTTTGTTTTAAAATGTTGGATTATATTTGTCTATATATAATGTATTGTAATACATGTATTGTTCTAAAGTATTATTCCGTTTTTACATTGCGATATATATTTTTTGTTTTAAATATCATGTATTCTCTACTGACTTAAAGAGAATGTGCTCTTTAGTTATCTTCAATATTACAGGCTATGAAGATACCAATGTTGCTCATGGGAAACTGGTTTCTTGTTTTATTAACGATTAATCCGGATATTTGACAAACTTCGATATTTGAATAACATATCAGACGACGCTTGCATTACTAAATGGATAGTCTCACGGTCCAAGCAACATAAACTGAAACAGAAGATCAACCATCTTACTTCAACTCCGAGAACTGTCTGCAAATGTTTTCCCAAACAGTGGCAATAAATTTTCTCACTGGTTGCCTCTGTCCCATCTCTTGAGCGTCACAGCGCATTCAGCTGACCGAGTCATAACTCGCGAGCAGTTGCCTCGTTTAACGCTCCTAGCCGGCCGTCGCACCCCGCCGACCTTCCATTTCTGCCGTTATTAATTCCGGGGTGACGACGGCAAAAAAGAAGAAGAAAGAAACGCGAAGACGGAGCAGTAGCCGTCGCCCTCAAAGGCTACGCCCTCGTGTAAGCAGCATCGCCCACAGGCTAAGAAGGACAAATCGCCCGCTTAAGGAGATTCTTCATTCTACAGCCATGCGACCACGATTTCAGAATTGCCTAAGAGCATTATGACGCTTTTTTCAACGCCCTAAAGGACGGGGGTCGCCCTTAGAATGGATGCGATGCGGCCCCAGAGGGCTGGAAGCGAGTCTGTCGAGACAAGCCACGGGCCGGAGAAAAAGACCGGGCAAATGGTTACACAGGAATTCGCTCCGGCGTGAGAATGGAGCAGTGATATAAATACTGAAACTATTTAGAGTAAAAACTTTTGTGTCGCGTTTTATAATGTGTGCACTATGACGCTGAGGCAAAAAAGTGTTTGGGACTGGAGTGTACGCTAGCTTAATATCAGGGAGGTAGTAGCAAATAAATTTTTAATGTGTGGTTGGTCTTTACTGTAGGAAATGAGTTGCTAAATTCGCCTTATGAAATAACATGGGAGAAGTAGCAGTTTCAATGAAAATTGCAGCTTATTAATTATTGCATAAGTTGTCATTTCCGAATGAACGACCAAAAATGATCGAAATAAAAATATAAAATTTGGTAGAAGTTGTGTTAACTCGCAGGAGAGAACAATTGAGTGTTGTACCATCGGTTACTACGCACGGAAGGTTATTGAAAAAGGAGAGTAGGAGAGTGGATAGAATATGCTAATGAATGAAATATTTATCTGAACGTAGGTTAGGAATATTTACGTGATATTGTTGCTTTAAAACCTAATTTGTAGTGACTTGAAGGTATTGGAATTTTGGTGAAACATTGCGAAACGTACATCAAAAAATTAATCGGATGTTCTCAAGTAAAAAGCTAATTCCGCGGAAATGAGGAAGAATACATTTGCTGTTTGATTCTGGACACATTAATTCACGAATTATATATCTGATTTATGTTTGACTCAAAGTGTTCCTATTTAAATTACCTCAAAAAAGAGGCCAACGGACTTAATCATATGATGAGTGGGAATATAGCCGCAGCTGAATTTATTGGCGTGTAAACGATCGCGACTCACTTATGCAGGTACGTTGAACATTCAGTATATTCGTATAAACATTAAAGGTATATTTCAGAAATTCGAAAATGCGAATTTTATTTTTATAGAAAGTTTCTTGGGCACTGTTCCAATTCTTTTTGAATTTTCTGCAGTTAAAATTGATGAGGTGTCGATAGGAAGAGTAGCAATATAATTATAGCAACATTCTTGCTACAAAACTTGTTAGATACAGTAGCAATCGTAAAGGATCGAAAATTTGAAACACATTTCAAATGTTAAGTTTCTTGCTACACCATTAACTCATATTTTACTTGGACTTGGAAAGAGCCCGGGAACTGCTCATAAAATGCTCATATTACACATTTTGGCTTTCAAGTTTTCGATAAACTATTTACAGGTTTTGTAATATGTGAAATGTGACCAACAAAGAACTGTCACAAATATAGTAGCTCTATTGTGAATTACGTAATGTTCCGTAAAGTTAGACTGCAGGCCCTATAAACCAGATACGTGAATGTTACATTTTGAAAGTAGGTCATCTTTAAACGTATTCGAATTTTGCTATATAAGACGAAACATAACAGATTTGTAGCTTACTTCTCATTCTAATTAAACCATTGAGGTAAGTGTTTGTGCGAGTGCGTCATGCGGAATCTATCTTACGAGTAAAATATTGATTGATGATTGATTATTCGATAATTGATTGATCGCCAATAATTAATTGATATATGAATGATTGCGTGGTTGATGATTGATTGATGATAGATTTATTGATAATTGATAATTAATTGATTAAAGATTGAATGATGATACATTGATTGATAATTAATTCAGGATCGATTGATCGATGAATGAATGATCGATAATTGGTTGATTGATTAAATATTGGTTGATCGAATATTGGCTGCTTAATGATTGGTTGATTGTTGATTGATATTGAAAATAGATTATGCTAAATAATGATTGATAATTGATGATTAATCATTTATCGATGATACATTGATAATTGATGATTAATTAAATATTAATTATTGATTGATTGATTAATAGTTGATAATTGATTGATGATCGATAGATGATTTATAGGTGATTGATGATCGATAGATGATTTATAGGTGATTGATGATCGATAGTTGATTGATAGGTGATTGATGATCGATAGATGATTGATAGATTGATTCAGGTTTCATTAATGATGATTTATCGATTATTGTTCGATGATTGAACGATGATCAATAAATTTTTTTTCGATGATTGATTGAGTAATAAAAGATTAATATATGATTATTATATAATCGATTAATAACTGATTGATTACTAAGTGAATGATCATTACATGTTTTATTAAATGATAATTGATTGATTCATGATTTATTGATTTATGATTGATTGTCCGATGATTGATCAAAAATTGATTGGTGATAGATTGGACATTATTTGATCATTGATTGACGATTGATTAATGATTCATTATTGATTAATGATTGACAGTTGAATGATAAATATGTTCACTGATGTATGATTGAAAATAGATTGATTAAGAATTGATAATAGATTGATTGATATTTAAATTAAGATTGCTTAAATATTAATCAATAATTGATTGATAATTGATGATTAGTTCATGATTTTATGCTGATTGATTTTTTATTGATTGATGAATGTTTAAAGATTGATTGATAAATGATTAATGATTATTTGATAATTGATTGATTGATGATTGTACGATGAGTGACTTATTGATTGATGATTGATTAATTATTGATTGAAAATTGATTGATTAATTACTGATTGATGATTGATTGATGCTTATTTGGTGATTGATTGATGATTGATAAATGATTGATTGATAATTGATTGATATTAGATTGATGGATGATTGATAATTGATGATTGATTGATGATGATTGATGATTGATTGATGATAAATATTGATGAATGATGATGATTGATGATGATTGATGATGATTGATGATGATTGATGATGATTGCTGATAATTGATTATGATTGCTGATGATTGATTGATAATGATTGATTGATGATTGATTGATTGGTGATTGATGATTGATATGTGATTGATTGATGATTGATTGATGATTGATTGATGATTCATTGATTATTGATTGATGATTGACTGATGATTGATTAATGGTGATTGATGATTGATTGATTATTGATTGATTAATGATTGATTTATGATTCATTGATGATTGATTGGTGATTCATTGATGATTGATTGATTAAAGATTGATTGATTGACTGATGATTGATGGCCGATTGATTAATGATTGATTGATGATTAGTTGATAAAGAATTAAAGTATGATTGATGATTGATTGAATAATGATTGATTGAAGATTCATTGATGATTGATTGATGATTGATTGATGATTGATGATGATTGGTTGATGATGATTGATTGTTGATGATTAAATAATTGTTGATGATTGATTGATGATTGATTGACGATTGATTGATGATTGATATGATTGATTGACGATTGATTGATGATTGATTGATGATTGGTTGATGATTGATTGATGATTGATTGATGATGATTGATGATTGATTGATGATGATTGATGATGATTGATGATGATTGATGATGATTGATGATGATTGATGATGATTGATGATTGATTGATGATGATTGATTGATGATTGATGATGATTGCTGATGATTGATTATGATTGCTGATGATTGATTGATGGCTGATTGATTAATGATTGATTGATTGATGATTGGTTGATAAAGAATTAAAGTATGATTGATGATTGATTGAATAATGATTGATTGATGATTGATTGATGATTGATTGATGATTGATTGATGATTGATTGATGATTGATTGATGATGATTGATGATTGATTGATGATGATTGATGATGATTGATGATGATTGATGATGATTGATGATGATTGATGATGATTGATGATTGATTGATGATGATTGATTGATGTTTGATGATGATTGCTGACGATTGATTATGATTGCTGATGATTGATTGATGATGATTGATTGATGATTGATTGATGGTGATTGATGATTCATTGATGATTGATTGATTGATTATTGATTGACGAGTCATTGATGATTGATTGATTGGTGATACATTGATGATTGATTGATTAAAGATTGATTGATTGACTGATGATTGATGGCTGCTTGATTAATGATTGATTGATTGATGATTGGTTGATAAAGGATTAAAGTATGATTGATGATTGATTGAATATTGATTGATTGATGATTGATGATGATTGGTTGATAATGATTGATTGTTGATGATTGATTGATTGATGATTGATTGATGTTGATTGATTGATTGATGATTGATTGATGATTGATTGATGA